TAGGTGCTAGGAATGTAACAGTGAATAAAACAAAACCCTGCTCTCATGGAGCTTACAACTTCCTAGGGGAGGGGTGGTGTGGAGAGGGGCAATAAATAAGTAAATAGATCAAATGGTGACATATACAAAGAAGAAAAATAGCAGGATAAAATGAAATTAAATGATGATGGGAAGGATGCTACTTTATATTAGGTCATCAGGAAAAGGCCATCCTGATATATGGGGACATTTGAACAGACTTGAATCAAATGAAGAAAAGAGCCATATAGCTATCTCAGAGAACAGCATTTGAGGCAGAGGAAACAACAAGTGCAAGCCCTTACACAGGAGTACACTTGAGATGACTAGAGGAATAGCAAGGAGCCTAGTAAAGGAACAAACAGAAAAATGGTTAGAAAGGCAGCCAAAGGTGAGCTTACCATAGGGCCGTGTAGGCCATGTTAAGGATTTTGGATTTTACTGAGGGGCATTGGGGACCATTAAAAGATATGGAGTAAAGAAATGACATAATCTGACTTACATTTTAAAAGGATCACTCTGCTACTTGTGGAGAACAGGACAAGGATGAAAATAAGGAGACCAGTTAAGAGGCTATTGCAATAATCCAGGTGAGAGATGATGTTGGCTTGGACCAGAGTAGCAGAGGTAGAAATGGTAAGTAGCAGTCAGATACTGGATATGTTTCGAAGATACATAATGCCACCTGGATTTGCCAATGGATTGTTTGTGGGGTGAGAGACAAAGAGAGGAGTTAAGTATAATGCTAAGGTTTTTGGGCCTAGTCAGTGGACAAGGAACTTAAACTCCAAAATAAATACTAACAGGTTGTGGAAAAGTCACTCTATTAATAATGAAGCCAAATAGTGTCCATGTATCTAAAAGAATAAGTTTTCTTAAACAGAAAACTTTTGTATCCTACGCAGAATTTTTTTTGCTAAGTAGTAGTATTGTCGTCCTAACAGCAAAGCAAACTAAATATAAAAACATATGAAAAGAACTAGTGGTACTTTGGTGTGATGAGGTAATTTATACCTATAGAATCTCTATCATTTTAATTCCCCTCAAAACAAGTCTTACCAACTTGAAGTTAATCTTAATCATTTGTTTCAGTGCTTTAAATCCCCATTCTCCTTTTTCACCTTCAAGTTCCAAAACCTACAAAAGGGAAGAAACTTTTAGTCTACTTTAATATGAATACATTATTTTCTAATGACATCTAATGTCTTCAGTTTGGAATTAATATTGCATCATATACATGAAAAACATTTCCCCAAGGATTTCACCATTTCTCAGTGTCTCTTTTTAAAGGCTTTAAAAAAACCAGACAAGTCTTAAGATGCTTACTTAAGGATAAGTGAGTGTATTTTGAAGTTCCCCCATCAAAAGATTAAGAACTACGTCTCAATTATTATATAGTCCTAGAAGTACTTTTTCCTCCTAAATAACCTTTGGTAAAAATAATCCAAAAGTATATCAGTATGTCAAGAAATCAAGCTATTTATAACAGTGCAACCACACCTGTGTGAGCTATCCCAAAAGAAGGAACAAGGTTGCAGTGATAATACCTACTGACTGACCATCACATTGGTTCTCCTGCCAGAACCATACTAGCTGTTCAGGACAAAGGCCCTGCTCCATAGACAGCTTGATCAGAAAAACAACAGGATAGCTCTTTTGAAATATTTACTTGTTCTGTACAATGCAAACTTACCTTACAGGATTATCAATAAGTATTCAAAACACATTTCTGAGGTAAAATCACTTGGGCCTTATTTAATCTAATACATCATTAAAAAAAAATTTAAGACACAGAATCAACTGGAAAAAATATAAACCTTTTGGAAACTGCTTAATGCTGCTTTTGGGTCATCTTCTTTTAATGCTTTGGAATTATAGTACTGATTTTCCAAATCCACATTTGGCTCAGAGTTACTATCTTCAGAGTATTCCTGTGTGTTGGAAAGAAAGAGATATTAGGAAAAAAAAGAACTCTACATGTTGCACTTTAAAATGTGAATACTGTTAAGATGGAAAAGCCATACATTTAAACAAAACAAAACAAGCTTGAATACATAGGTAAAATGGCATTGATATTTAACCATGATGTAAAAGGGGGTAGAGTCACTGGGAGGGAGAAGGAGGAGGCAGCTGAAAGCAAGTGTATGATAAATTAGAATTATTTCTTTCTGTCAGGTCAGAACTATAATTTCCACAGAATCAACCCAAATGAAAATGCAAATAACTAATATTAGTTAATGACCCCAATTCTGTAGTGGTTAAGCTTTCATTGGTCATGGAACCTGAGAAAAATCTAATGTACACGTGTTCCAATTATTAATCTTTGGTTCTGTAATCTAATTTCTTCTACTCCCTGAGTCTAAACTTCATTGCTCTAACATGGTCTAACTAGCTAGGATGGCAATCTACTTATGACAGAGTAGTATAATGCTAAATGTAATTATATATTAATAAGAATATTTGTCTTGTGCATTTCACAATACAATAGCTGCTTGTATTAGTGTAACAACTAGCTTTATAACAAATCAAAATAAGTAAAGTGAAATGGGTTTATATAGTTTTATGAGATTTTCCAACATATGAATTCAGTTCTTAGTGAAAAACAATAAGGCAGAAGGAAAAATTGGAATAAAACTATTTTGTGGAGCAGTGTAAACAAGTTGTTTTAAATAGTTCTAAGACATTCCATCTAACAATGAGGATTACAATGGTTTAATGAAAATTATTATACAGAGATTATTATACAGAGACAGAGATTATTTCCTTCTCTTTTACAAGTCATTACAAAGGGCAAGTTTATGTCAAATTAAGAATAGTACATGGAAGTAAACACAAAAAGACAAGAACAGTATTACAGAGTTATTTCTAAATCCAAATACAGTTAATAAATTTCTTTATGAGATATTTATGGAAAATTCTATAAAGTCTCATAAAGGCATAGGCATGAAGAAAAGTACGCTGAGCATAGTGTTTGGAGAGCTCAAAAATTCGTCAACACAGGATGAATTTTTCAACAATCGAAATAGTGACTTTGTAACGTGCGCCCTCTGGTGGATAATTACTTCCTCGTGTGAAGACAGGAAACGCACTCAGTCATGCTTAACGTATGAAAACGACTTGGAACATTTCTTTCAGGAACAAGATCAAACTCTGGGTAGTAAATAAATTTCTTAATGATTCATTCACTTCTTAATGCTCATAATCTAGATATGAC